CACTACAAAATTGCGGCTCAGGAATCTTATCCAGTTGCGGGAATAGTAACACTAACCAGGCAGTGTTGAGACACAGCCTGATATGTATCCTAACAGCTCTAAGCATGTCAAGAACATTATGCGTCGCATTTGGCCCAACTAAGCTTGGACGGCATCATCCAATGCCGGCTTTTTGTAATATAACAAATGTCAACCAAAAGCTACAAAATCGAGTGTACAAAGGAAAAAAAAAAAGACAAGTAAAACCTCTCCTTTGACATGATCTACGGTGGTAGACTGATAAACACAAGACAAGATGGGTGTTAGGAATCCCAACTTTTTAACGGATGTTGTTACGAGGTGGACTGAGACCACTCACTGTAACTGTACCGCAGTATGAAATTAGGTCGTTATAGAAAGATGAATTCAAGAAATAAACCTCCTATTGCGTCCTCCTCGTGTGCGTAGTACGGCGAACACACTACAGTCCCCCAGATAAAATGACTCGGATAGTAAAACAATCTTGGTTAGCACTCAAGAACGGTAAACGAATATTGGCCGGCTGGGTTCGTGATGTTACTGACGGGCGATAACTTGCGGAGTATGCCTCCGCAAATCATTGCTTTCAGATACTTTTATCATGAGTCGGCGCATACTTCAGGCTAGATTCCAATAAAACCTTCGAAACTATTCCGGCTTATGCTTCGCCATGGCCAGTGACGACGGTTGGATTGAGAAATTTTATGCAGATTTTGAATTTACTTCATTCGTCAAGTTTACATATAAATTTGTCCCGTAGAACCTCACCTCTGCACAGCGACTAAACAAAGGCTGAAGGAGAATCTCGAAAATTACGACTGCTGGCGAAAACTAAGACGGTTCAAAAGCGGAGCATGAAGGAGAGAATGAAAGTGCCGCACAGGAGCGCTGCTTAGGAAAAATGAGTACGGAACAACGAGTCAACAGACTGGACTAAACGTCAGGAAGATATTTTCAGTCGAAGAGTCGAAAAAATATTTTGCTGCACAAAAAGGGTGATAAAGATCAGAATCACTGCCCGTCTTTATACTCTCTGATACTTCTGAGCTATTCATAAATTATTATTATTTTGGATGAAAAACAAGCAAGCTGGATTCTGAAGTTACTACAGTACAATACATCACTCCATCCTAAACCAGCTGTTGGACAATGTAAGGAACCCCTCCCCCTATGTCTACAGTGAAAGTACTCGAAGGAAAATGGCCGGATTCTGCATGAGTTCTCTTAGATGAAGTGAGGCATGGGATCTGCGTGGAAATATTTGAGGAATCAAATACAGGCAGTTTGACAAAAATAACATGTTTGCTGACTTCAAACCAAATACCGTCCGAGAGAGCCAACATGCAAAGCGATCCCATATCGCCCAACTTTTCAAGTCTTCTCCAAGATCAAACATCGCTTAAGGTTTTTCCGGCCTATTTCAATATGTCATTTCGGAAACTGGATTGGAAAACTGGTCTGGAGAAAAATGGTAACCAGTTAAATAGTCTATGCTTCACAGAGGGCATAGTTTTAATTGTGAACAATCCTCAAGAGATATACGGAATGCGCAGGAGCTGAGAGCACGAAGTGAGGAAGCCGGCCTGGAAATTAACGCATCAGAGACAAAAGTGACGCAGAGTGGAAATATACCCGCAGCAAAATTTCAGACAGACAGTGTTGACCTAGAAGAGGTTGAAAGCTATCTTGGTCCGAAGATAAATACGCTTTCAGCTGAAAACTGACCAGAGAAGGGCTGCCCATTAGCGCAAATGAGCGGCCACTGACCAAAACTGCAGAACAGAGACTGGCTGTAGTGGAGATAACAATGGAACGAAGAATACATGGCGTGTCTTTTCATGACCATATGAATCAGACTCTCTGTGGGATGAAGAGCGTGCAGAAAAAAAA